CAGCAGCACCCCACCTCGCGTTGAAAAGCATGTCCACAATAAGGAGCAACATGCTTGCGAGCTCCTACAGGAAAGTATGGAGCAAAACTTGGGGAGCTTTCCGCCTCAAGAACTTGCAAGAGACAGCCGGCACCATTATCGAAAATTGGGAGTACGACCCAACCTTGGACGTCCGTTACCCCATGAAAGTGAAGATGCCGATGAAGGCTATGAAGGCGATGAAGAAGCCGGCGAAGGCGATCAAGGCGATGAAGAAGAAGCCGACGAAGGCGATGAAGGCGATGAAGAAGACCGACAAGAAGGCCGACAAGAAGGCCGACAAGAAAGCCGACTGAGCAACACCGTGACAGAGCAGCTGCCTGGAAGGAAAAAAACAGAGTGGAGCCGCAAGGTTTTGAGTCTTATGGAAACCTTCGCCATATTCAGCAAGGCCGAAACCGAAATGCCGGCCCTGATGTTATGTACACCCTCGCTACCTCAGTCGGCTTCTGAGCAAAAGAGCGTTTTGCACACACGGTGAGTACATGAGGAGCTGTATGCAGACTCAGCTTTGCTGCAGGCCGGCCTTGCGGACTCGAACTTGTTTTTTTGCTGGGACCTCAGACTGTAGTGACCGTGGAAGGACAGTAACGTTAACGCCTGTTGTCTCGCAACACAGGTTACTCTCTGGCGAAGCCGGCAGAAGTACAACAAACAGTCGGCAACTTAATTTGTCTTGACTCCGAGGCAACGTCTGAGTTTACCTTTAATTCGGGCTTAGCTGTCAGACAATTAAGCCTTGGAGCAAAGCAGGGGTGCGCGCAGGGGTGCGCGCGGGGAGTGCGCGCGGGGAGTGCGCGCGGGGAGTGCGCGCGGGGGTGCGCGCGGGGCGTTGTGGTTAAATTGTTACACAATAATAATACTAATAATACGAATAATAATAATGATGATAATAATAATAATTAATAATCATAATAATAATAATAAAGTAACGTTATTAATCTACAACTTTAACAGCTACTCTTGCATGCATAAATTGTTTGTAAATTACGTATGTGTGTGTGTGGGAAACACAGGACATTATTGAAAATGAGACGTTTGCGCAGTTTAACACGTAAGGTCATCACGAAAGCAAATGTTCGAGCTGGTGAAGCCACGTTCAAGCAAAGCTGCCTGTGCGATTTCTTCATTGAAAAACTTACATTAGAATAAACGCAAGCTTGGTAAATTCAAGGTTTGTTATTATTATTATAAATTATTATTATTATTATTATTGTAGTTATTATTGTTATTTCCTCGGTCCCACTAAAAACGAAATTCCTGTTTAGCACCAATCCATTCATAGTTACTCGACACTTCCGGTTTCTTTTCCCGAATTTTAACGAAATAGTTTCATGCATACAATATAGGAGAGCTTCGCTAAATTTACTAAGCCCAGGTTTGCTTGGATTTCAAGTCAGGTGGTGCATAGCTATCGGCCTGAGTTAATAAACCAATTCGGATGGAGCTCACTGAGCTAAACCTTAAATCCTGGTTTTACTTCTTTGCGATTTTGAATGTCCAAACTCTAAACCCTACAAACCCAGACCCTGCGCGCGCCCCTGCGCGCACCCCTGCGCGCACCCCTGCGCGCACCCCTGCGCGCACCCTTGCGCGCACCCCTGCGCGCACCCCTGCGCGCACCCCTGCGCGCCCTTGTCTTTTGGTTTAATTAAAACAAAATAAACCCGTCAGGTTTCGCTCAACCGTAAAATGAATTCAATTTAGGGTTTAGTTTGACCCGAACTAAACCCGAATTTAAGGTTTAGCTAAACCGATTGAGGTTGCCGAACACACAAGAATTCAGGGTTTAGCTTATAACCTTGAAATATTTTCAGAAACCTAGGTTTAGCAGCTATAGCCCGCAGATTGACGCTGAAGCATGTTGAATTTATAAGATTCACTAACTAAGTACATACTGGTTGTAAGGTAAATTTAAATGAGCCAATCAGGATTTTCATCAGTTTGTTCATTTCATGTGTTCTTCAGAATGAAATCAAGTCCCGACGTTAACTTGAGTAGCGAAACCAGTGACTCAAATTTCAGCTTGTGCTAAACCCCAGATCGCTTGCAGTCTTCGTTGTTTGATCCTTCATGCTGCAGGTCTATGGGCTTTGTAGTGACGAAGAAGATACGCGACTGGTGCCAGCCTCGGGCTGCATGCCATTCTTGAAAGACCAGTTCTTGGACTTGACACGTCATGGGAACCACCGATGGCAGCCAGAGGATCAAGAAGGTGCAGGTTGCAATCAACATCATGTCCGGGGGTGCTGGAAATCCAACAGGTTCAACCCGGGTTCAAAATCCAGGTTTCAACCTGGCTCCAACCTAGGTTCCAACATGAACGTCAAGAATCTAGCACCAGCAGACAGCACCAAACTTGGCGAGGCATCAGCCCTGATTAAACAATCAGGGCCCCTTTTGCGACCTCCATGGCGTCCGCCAGCGGCAGGGGCAATGGTCCTGGGCGTGGTCGTGGTGACGACATGCAGCGCTACCAGAAGACCAATCGGCACCAGGACTTTGCGGCCTTTAAACGGACACACAACCATAAGATGAACCTGCTGCAAACGGAACTCGACTCTGCCCTCAGACGGCTGGCTGAAAAGAGCGAAGAAGCCGACAGTCTGAAGAGTCGGCTTGATCAGTCGGCCAAGGAGATTGCAGATCTGAAGGCCTGGAAGGAGCGCGTCACAGAGTCCGCTATTGCGGGCCGGGTTAAGTCCCTGGAAGCCGACCAGAAGGAGTCGGTGTCGCTGATCGCCACCCTCAAGGCGAAGATCAAGAGCCAGGAGGAGGAGCTGGTTCGCCGTGCAGACGTGGAGGCCTCGTTGAACAAGAAGTGCACGGAGTTCATCGATGCGAATGCGCAGTTCAAAGCCAGCGACCAGTCGTTGAGGATTCAGGTCCGTGACTACAACGACTTGACCCAGGACCTCCGAAAGTCCCTCCAGGAAAAGAGGACTGAGAATGGAAATCTCCACACGGAGGTGTTCACGCTCAAAGCGAGGCTGAAGCAGCTGGAAAACAAGTTGGCCGAGAAGCCGGCAGCAGAGTCGGCAGGGAGCACACAGGTGCCTTGATTGACATTAAATTCTTTTCACGTTCTGAGAAATGCTGCGTCTTTTGCGCTTGACACATGTAGACTGCTGCAGCAACGATGACAGGAGCCGACTCTGAAGACGACAACAAAGTCGACGCCAACGGCGGCGAAAGCAAAGCCGACTCCAGCGGCTACAACAATGTCGACCCTGCCCCCTAAGCCGAAGTCGGCTCCTGCCAAAGCACCGCGGCTTCTTTCACGTCAGTTGGTTTGTCTTAGGTCATAGGTCTTGCACCCAATTTGGTTTGCTTTCAAGCAGAGGTTCCGGTGCTCCCGCCGCAAGAAAAGACGAAGGACACGCGGAAAGAGACACCAAGCTCCTCAGCCTCAGACAGTGGCACGGTCGTGAAGAAGAAAAAGAAGAGGAGGACCAGGAGCAGAACGAAGGGACGCAGCAGACGCAGATGATTTTCCTGCGGTTTCGCCCAGTCGAAGTCCGAACAGCTTTTTGAAAAAATGCTGCGTCGTCTTGGCAAGCACCTGTGCACGACTTTTGAATGCCTTGCCTTCTGCGTCCTTCATCAGCAGCAGCACTCACAGCTGCCATGATTCCTTGCCATGTGACGCCCAGGTGCCTTCCCAGTACCTGGCTCTGCAGGCTCGAGGTTCAGCACTGACTCGTCGTGAGCTTCGGCTTATGAATGCTGCAGCATCTGTACTGCAGGTGGGCTTCTGCAATCCAGCAGCAGACATCGCCTCAAAGGGATGTTGACACCAGTCTCGGATAAGGCTCACGAGTCTGAAGTCCTATCCAGGTCCAACGACAGCTTCTTCAGGGACCCAGCCCTGCCGAGCCTTCAGGAAGAGTCGGCAGAGGGTTGCGGCCTGCTTGTCTGCTCTTGACCTTGATTTTGACATGGCCCAGGTCTCTTTCAAGAGGGACGGCTGGACGAGCATTTGGTGGAAGGCAGCGCTGGTCTAGGCTGACCTATTGACAGTGGCATGTTTCGTCCGGTTGATATGGCCAGGAGTCGGCTGGCTGCCGCGAGGATTTCCCACACAGCAGCAGGGTGCTCAACGAATGAAGCTGATGTCAGTCTTGCTGGCACGTTGGCTTTCGCATGGATTGAAGCCGCAGCTTCCTGCTTACAGTCCGCTGATGCAAAGTTTCACGAAGAGCGGCAGAAGCACACCTCAGCCTAGATCTGACTGTGGCACATGGCAATAATACTTCACTCCTTCTTAGTCTTCTCGACCAGTCTGTAGTGGCACAGTCTCAGGAGTACCCGAACCCGGTCCCTGACCTTAGTCAGGACCCATGCAATGCTAAACCAGTGTTGCATGCCTGGCTTACTCTGGAGGTAAATAGCTCCGCCTTCGTCAGGACCCATGCAATGCTAAACCAGTGTTGCATGCCTGGCTTACTCTGGAGGTAAATAGCTCCGCCTTCGTCAGGACCCATGCAATGCTAAACCAGTGTTGCATGCCTGGCTTACTCTGGAGGTAAATAGCTCCGCCTTCGTCAGGACCCATGCAATGCTAAACCAGTGTTGCATGCCTGGCTTACTCTGGAGGTAAATAGCTCCGCCTTCGTCAGGACCCATGCAATGCTAAACCAGTGTTGCATGCCTGGCTTACTCTGGAGGTAAATAGCTCCGCCTTAGTCAGGACCCACGCAATGCTAACCAGTGTTGCATGCCTGGCTTACTCTGGAGGTAAATAATGACTGCAGTCCCTGCAGAACCCCTTCGCTGCACTCGTAATGAATTGTTTCCAAGCCCTCCTCGCTCTGCCATGGCCGTTTCTGAGTCGGATGAGCGTCATCGGCAACAGTGCATCTTACAGTATGGAACCGCAACTTGGCGGCATCTGATATTCTCCGGACAGCCTTGTGCACTCTTGTCGAGAGCCTCGAGGGCAGTATGTGACACACCCTGAAATGATGTCTGAGGCAGCCCAGGCGAAGAAATCCTGCGGGCGTTGCCGGTGGCTGAGCCATGGTGCCTATTGGACGGAGAGGTGTACTTTCACTGATTCAGACGGTGTGGTTCGCACCTGGCTGCAGCGGGCCGTCCATGAAGATGGCACGTTTGGCTTGGAGTGCCGCCTGTGCAAGGCATTTGCAGTGCGGTTTCCAGAGAAAATTTCGAAAAGCAGCCCCTACGTTGAAGGAAAAGTTGTTCCTCGGCAACTGGAAGACTTGCTTCGCCATGCCGGCGATGCAAAAAAGTCGGCCAAGAGAAGTTTGGTGCATCAGCAGGCCCTCGACTATCACCTGTCCCAGTCGGCTGAGCAAGGAGTCGGCGGGAGCGAACCAAGTCGGCCTTCGTATGAGCCGGCCATATGTTCGTATCAGGTGCTGATGTCGGTGGAGACGGCGCACACGCCGAATGCTGCACAGTGCTCTCTCTATGAGGCCAAGTGCAAGCAAGGCAATGCTGACAATCCTGCCTTGTGCCCGCTGGCTAGGTCCTCTGGCGTGGGGCACTGGAAAATCCAGCATAGCCTGTCAGTTCACCTGTGGCGCAGCTGCCGCTCCAAGTTCAAGGCACATGGAGGAGCTCGCGTTCTCTCCATTGGCCTTGCCGAGGAGCCAAGGGTGGGTTTGGCTTTCGGTTTAGCGCAAGTCCTTGTTTTTTGAGGGCCATGTGGTAGCTCCAGAATCCTGTCAGGATGCGAGGGGCAAGTTCGAGCTGCTCAAGGCCAGGATCGTCTACTCCGACTTCACAGTCGGCAACATAGTCGTGGATCTCTTCGAGCATAAAGGCCGGAAGACGGCTTTGGACAAGGCGCAGCAGATCCGGGAATCTCTTCTCCGTTTCGCAGACGGCAATGATGCCATCATGGATGTCCTGTCAAGGAAGACGCAAGCAGCCTGGCAGCACATGCAGCATCAAGCAGCAGCACTTTCGCTTCTCAAGTTTTAAATGATCACAGGTCTTTTGCAGTGACGGAGAGCGTGCGGAACCCCTTTCAGCAAGGCTGGCGAAGGACAGTTCTTTTCATGCTGCATCCTTGAACCAGCCATATAGTGTGTGTGTGTGTGTGTGTCGTTGCACTCGCAGGAGCAACACGTATTGCCCAGCCTCAAGGCTGTGCTGCGCTGCAGCGCACACAGCGCGCACAAGGCGCTGGAGAACTCCCTCGCAAGCGACCCTCGGGCCAAAGACCTGGTAGACGCACTCATTTCGGCCTATTCAGACGAAGCGAGCGGGATGGCTGGAGGGCTCGCACGTGCCCTGACGAACTCCTTGAAGCTTGCCGATTTGGTGGAAAAGGAGTCGGCCGAGCAGACGGATCACCTGGTCTCCAAGATGAGGTTTGCGGCCCAGCGATTCGGGTCGCTGACTGAGGTAGCTGGCCACATCGTCAGAAACACAAAGGTCCTCATCACTGCCCTGACAAAGGTCGGCAACCAGTGGGCCAACAACCTGTTGCATACATGTTTTCGTCCCAAGAAACTCCTCCTGTTCGCACTCATCGCCGAGTTTGGGGCTGCGGCTATGCGGTTCATCCGCAAGTTTGACAACAACGAGAGTGTGGATGGGGGAGGAGTCGGCAAGGTGCCGGCATTATGTCGTGAAGTGGCCCTGCTGGAGCAAGAGCTGCAAACCCTCTTTGCTTTTCGGACTCCCGCAGCCAACGAAAACCAGCTCTCTGAGCCCCTGGTCCTGTCGGAAAAGTACAGCACCGGCTTCGTGCAGATCATGCAGAAGCAATTCAATTTTTTGGTGGAGGAGGCTATCGTTCAGGACGGCGCCATGATTTTTTTCCATAAGGGAGCAGGCTCGGAGCGGCAGGTGAGACGCTGGCTGGCAAAGGAGTTGGGCTCCATGAAGAACATTATCGAGCTGTTTTTGTCGGCCATCAGAGCCGAGTCCGACACTGGCGTTGCTGCAGCTCTCTCCCCGTTCTTCTTCCGGCCCGACAGTCGGCTGGACACGTCGGCTTTGCTGCTTGGCTGCACATGCTGTGCACTTAAGGGCTGTTACACGCAGCATGTGCGTCATGATTACTGTTGTTGCCAAGGCCTGAGCAGCTGGCCCCACTTGCCGATGCCTTGAACATAGACGCGTCCTGACAGCACACAGAGTTCTGACTTTGAGCTTTTGAGTGTGATTTGGAGTATGTGGCATGCGTGCACGCCTGCAGCACCTGCAAGCACTGCTGGGGGCACTGCTTCGCGAACCTTGTGCTGAACGTTATGCCGTTATGCAGGTGGCTGATCTTGGCCGTGAGATGCTCCTGCTGCGACCCACGGTTGAGACCCTTTGGAAGCAACTTGACTTTTTTAAAATACTTTATTATAGAATCGCATCGCATTCTATGTTGACACACCGGTGCACTTCAGGCAGGGGCACAGAAACGTGGAGGTCCTTTGGGGGAAAGCCTGCAATCACTGGCAGAACAAGATCCACGCGGTGGATAAAGCCGCGCCGGGGTTGCATTCAGATTCAGTTGTCGGCCATGCTGCAACTTCTTTGTCCTTTCCTGCCATGACACCAGCCAGGTGGCCTTTATGCTGAGCATATACACTTCGACGTCCGAGTTGGAGCAGGGGTTTAGCTTCTTGCAGATGTTCGGGTCGGGAAGAAAGGCGCACACCAATCCCGAGAACATCTTGTCCGGCCCTCAGTCGCCCATGTCAGTGAATCTTGTCGGCTTTATCAGAGTCATAGTCGGCTTTTAAACCCACAGCTTCATGCAGGGCCCAACATGTGGTTAAGGCTTTCTTAGCTTCAATCCTTAGCCGGCGTCTTGGTCGAGCCCAAAAACCACGACCTCGTGCTGTCTTCATGACTTTAAACCAGACACGACTGGGCCCAGGCACCTCTTCAAGAACAGGATCGACGGGCCGAAGCCGTATGAGATCGCGACCCGTTCTTCCAAGAATGGTGTTGTGACCCTCGTGCCACAGCCCATCTGCTTTGCTGTGCAGAAGATCTACGAGGAGCTCTATGGTGCAAAACAGAAGGGGGTTGCAACCTCCACTCTGCCCAGACGTGTGCAGCCCGTTCTTGGGACCGACAAAGAGAAGCCTAGTCTGGCTGGGCTGAAGAGGAAGCAGCAGAAAGAAATGAAGGAAGCCGCTGAAACAATAGCGAACAGCCGGCTGAACCCAGAGTCGGCAGAGGAGTTGGCAGAGCTTGCGCAGATCACTGAAAAGTCGGCGAAGAAGAGGCGCACTGAGAAGCATGACAAGCTCTCAGTCTTTCTGCAGAAGTATGCAGAGAGAAAGGCCTTCCTCTTCGAGTACGACCTCCGCGAGCCGGGCGAGACGGAGAACCACGCCAAGCTGCAGAGGCATCTGCGAGAAGCCGAGCAGAGAAAAAGCCGGCTCTTGGAGATGACCAAGCGGTCCATGGCAACGGTGCTGTTGCACCCCCCGTTGCCGCAGGGCACTCTGGTGGTGGCATCGGATGGCTCCTGCAAGAACGAACTGGCGGCAGCTGGTGCGTCGTTCTTCGCTTGGCCCACGTCGACTGCCGAGCGTTTGAACGTCGCACAGTTGGCGTACAGAAGTCGGCAGCTTGGTGTGGCTCTCCACAAACGCGGATGCCGAGGAGGCCATGCTCTTCCCGACTGAGGAGTCTATGACAAGTTTCGCAGCCTGTGCCCGACTCCTTGGGGGCCATGTTGCTGGGCCCTACTGGTTGCAGCTGGCAAGGAGAGACGGCAAGTTGCATAGCACAGTCTGCTCTCTTAAGAGAGGCCTGGACCAGGACCACCAGCTCTACCTCCACAAATCGCTTGAGGAGGATGATTCAGGAAGCGGCAAGGGCATGGGCATCTGTGTCAAGGTGCTGCAAGAGGAGTCGGCTCGGCTAACAGACGGCCAACATGTCGGCTGGAAGATCATGGACAGCAAGAAAGCTTTGTGACTCGGCAAGGATAATGATATTATCATGCTGGCCGATGTGCATCCTGATTCCCCTGGATATGCTGTAATCCCTTAACACCCAAGGACCAAGAAGAGCAGCCTGATCATGGTCTCCAAGAAGCACCTGCACAGCAAGTCTGGCGACATCCCCAAACACATGGGCCAACGGTGCACCGCATTCTCTTTGGTGACAACTTGCGACTCAGTCAAATTATTGCAGTGCTACTTTGGCTTGCAAGGAACTTTAATGCCGTGTTGCTTGACTCTGATGTTCTGCAAGCCCTGGCGATCTGTGTTCCTGAGGCACCACGTGGCAGTGACTTCATGTGCTGCTGAAAGCCCCGACGAGCTGTGCTCCTGAGGCACCAAGCGGCAGTGAGACGGAGCATTTGTGCATCGGCAAGCTCAGTTAGAGTAGGCAAATTCAATGACTCTGATTAAGCTAAATCATTTTGCACGTTTATCTGGGCTATAGTCCGATGCAAGTGAATCGCTCTGTCGCGCCGGTGCACTCCATTCAGCTTCTTGCATCAAGTGCAAGACAGAAGAAACTGCGAGCCCGCCATTCATGCTTCTGCTTGCATCAAGTGCAAGACAGAACAAACTCGGAGCCCGTTCTCCGCACAAAAGAATAATAAAATAACACTGCCTAGAGATTGAGTCGTTGCAAAGCTGCGGACGGAAGTCATGCATTCAGTTGGCGGCAGACAGTCTCGCCTCACTGTTTCTGCTCTGGCAATCCTGAGGTCGTGCGTCCTCTGGCAACGACCAGGCCTGGCTGTGGCCTCTGGTTTGTACTGCAGTGGAGCACGTCATTGCGCATTATTATTATTATTGCCACTAGACTATTTTTGCTAAAATTATGTTTCTTTCCAGTTACCGCCCTTGATGTCTATGTGCATCCTGCCTGTCTCGTGGCGAGGGTGACTGTCGCAGTGTTCCCGAGTGTGTCGTTCAGGTCAGTATTGGACACGGTTCGCTATCCGTCATGGTCTTGTCAAGTTACGTCACTCCGCTTGCAACTCACAACCTGCGGTGCTTTCTGCTGCAAGCAAACGCTTCACAGATTCCTGCGTCCCTGCTTGTCTCGGAATCCATAGCACAAGAAATGCATACACTTAGTAAAAAAGATGCCTTGACCTGCTTGTTTTGCTGGCGATTTCAGGTTCCATGTCTCGCAGTGCACAGTCCGTTCAAGCAGTGCTTTGAGTTTTGTTCGATCAGTTAGTGCCAAAGTTTGCACACAGCGATGCCAGTGGTGAAAGCAACTCTTCGGATGTCTTGGTCAAGTCGCTGATAAGTTTTTCAAGGTCCACCAAAACAAATAATATTCCTAACTTGAGTCCCGTGTCATGCTTCAGAGAATCGGACACGAAATATATTTCCGAGCAGGCTGTCAGAGAATTCCACAAGAAAGGGCCGGCAAGTGGTCGTGCGCAGGGAAATCCCATTACTATAATAATCTGAATATTGCAGGATTGGCCTGTCTCACAACATCTGAGTCTGTCGTCTGCAAGAGCCCATGAGATTGTATGGGGGGATGAGCTGAATGAAGGCACATGCCAGAGTTCACACTTGAAACTCGTGACCGTCGCACATTTGATTCTCAAATAAGAGCAGAAATCGAAGCAAGATTCCAAGCCAGGGCTGTCGTTAATAAATAATAACATCTGCTGGCAGCAGCAAATGGTTCCCTCGTTCGCTGGCGCCAGCGAGCTCGCTGGCGCCAGCGAACCCCGGAACACGGGATGCTGTTGCAGCGTTCGCTGGCGCCAGCGAACGCATGGAGCCTGGGACCCTGTTCCAGCGTTCGCTGGCGCCAGCGAGCTCGCTGACCAAGGGACCGAGGTTCAATAAAAGGACTGGGGGCTGGATGCTGGAACTTGCTCTTGCTACAGCGGCCCTTCTCCAGCGTTCGCTTGCGCAAGCCAACGCTGGGCAAGGGGTTGTCGGGCAACAAGTGGCTGGATGATGGGACGTGTCCTTTTAAATCGCCCCAATTTAAAAGGACACGTCCCATCATCCAGCCACTTGTTGCCCGACAACCCCTTGCCCAGCGTTGGCTTGCGCAAGCGAACGCTGGAGAAGGGTCGCTGTAGCAAGAGCAAGTTCCAGCATCCAGCCCCCAGTCCTTTTATTGAACCTCTGTCCCTTGGTCAGCGAGCTCGCTGGCGCCAGCGAACGCTGGAACAGGGTCCCAGGCTCCATGCGTTCGCTGGCGCCAGCGAACGCTGGAACCCGGGATGTTGCAGCGTTCGCTGTCGCCAGCCAGCTCGCTGGCGCCGGTGAACGCTGGAACCATTTACTGGCTCCGGGGCACAGGCATGGCACTGTTGCCTGGGATCTTGGGTCGGTTTCTGCTGATAATAGTAAATCATCAGAATGTCGTCCATACATCCGGACCTATGTTTTCCTTACTACCTAGAAATCCCAAACTCGGAAAATTGTCGGGTCTTGCTGAGAACCCCATGTTTGGAGTTGCTCCTCCTCAAGCCCCAGGTTTTGATGCAAAACCCCGGGTTTGTGAAATGTTGATCTCTAGAAACCCCGGGTTTACCGGTGACCAGCCGGGGATTTACCTGTGCCCAACCCATGGTTCACCCGTGACCTGGTCATGGGTTACGCAACCCGGGCTTCATGCCAAAACTCTGGGTTTCGAGCCTCCGCCTGCTTTTTTTTGCGGGTTTGGGTTCCCTAGGTATGGGTTGATTGAACACCAAACATGACACACACAGCAATGACCATTTGCTTTTCAAGCGGGTACGTGCTGCCTACCTATTTCCAGCGGTTGACATTCCAAACATATATGGTTGATGTGTTCAGAAGTTTGCTTGCTGCCTGAATGATGTGGTCTGTGTCTTGCATCATGCTAATATCTTTAAATACTCTTCTAAAGTTTGCTGCAGGACGAGATGCCGGCTGCTCCTGGAGGCCACTGTTGTTGCAATCGATCTTTGGAAATCGTCAGAGTCCTGTGCCGAGACCTTCTTTGCTGCAGTCGGCCCAAGAGACGCTTTGGACTTTTTAATCCTGGCAATGAAGCGCAAGGCGCCGCCTCCTATGCCTCCTGCTGGTGGTGACCAGAAAAAGGCAGCACTGGAGGTAGGCCCACTCCAGAAGCCGGCCAAAGACATCCTCAATGTCAAGAAGTCAGTGCCGCAGGCAGCGCCGCTCGAGACGCCGCCCAAAGACATCCTCAATGTCAAGAAGCCAGTGCCGCAGGCAGCGCCGCTCGAGACGCCGTCCAAAGACCTCCTCAATGTCAAGAAGCCAGTGCCGCAGGCAGCGCCGCTCGAGACGCCGTCCAAAGACATCCTCAAGAAGTCGGAGGCAGAGGCGCTCAAGAAGCCGTCCAATGACATCCTCAAGAAGTCGGAGGCAGAGGCGCTCAAGAAGCCGTCCAATGACATCATCAAGAAGTCGGAGGCAGAGGCGCTCAAGAAGCCGTCCAATGACATCCCGGTCCCCAAGAGGTCAGAGCCGGACGCAGCAACCACCGAGAAGCCGGCGTCGAAGGCCCACAAGTCAGGGCCGGCATCTGGCACTGAGAAGCCGGCGTCAAAAGACGAGCCGGACACAGACCCGCTCGCCGACATGCCATCGTTGAAAGAGTCAGGGCCAACCGCAGGACCAGCCGCCGACAAGCCGGACTTGAAAGACATCCTCACAGGCACTCACCTAGACCTTGAGGAAGCAGTCAAGCTGGTCAGCATGGACATGCGGAACATCTACGTGGAGCTGAAGGTGTCGGGTCTAATTGTGTTATTAATTAACCAGAGCAGCAGGTTTAAAGCTTTTAATCTTTCAGGTTGCATGCAACATGCCAATGTCAGGAATGCTGTGCCAAAGGGCCAATGAGCTTCGGCGGGTGCTCGCCGTATTGTCTGCAGGACTACAGGAACTGCATGCAAGCCCACGCCTGCTACGAGTGCTTGGTGACGTTTGATGCCATTGCTCTGCATGCCTATGCTCACCGTACTTTGGCCCCGAACTTGGGCACCTTGGCTGGCCTTAACTTCAGGGAGTCTTGGCCTCCTCAGAAGTTTTGTGGGATGTTGCTGCACCATTGACAATTAACCATGACAATCCTCAAGGTGCAGTGCAGTTGCTTCAACAGCAGCACTGGCCCGTGGATATGACGAATGAGCATTGGCGTGGGTGGCAGGAGATCATCGTTGTCCGGTCCACCTCGGGGACGGACCCCCCTGAACACGGCCACTACCAGGTGGTCAACGGTGATGCCCTGCGCTCCTTGCTTGGGGGAATTTCATTCTTTGCTGTTTTAAATGACTCAATAGGTTTTTTGTACTGTTAAATCGAGCCTAGGCTTGGCCTTTGTGCATGGATGGGCCCAGGCAAAGGAGGCGGAAAAGCCGACGGATGCGTTTCAGACGGCAGCTCGTTGCGTGAAGGTTCGCTTCGAGCTCTTGATCTTGGATGAGACGTTCGAGATGAAGAAGTGGGAGCTGAATGAAAAGACGAACCTGGCGGCCGAGACTCAGATTTTGCAAGGGCTCAAAAGGGCACTCGCGGTGCAGGGCGTGGCGGATATGCTCCAGCGGGAGGGTCAGCCAAATGGCCCCAAAGATTTGGAAAAATGGTTCAAGACGGCAAAAGTGACGACAGCGGATATGAGCGCACGTGTCGTCTCGACGATGATGAAGGTTGCGACGAGGTTCAAGTCGGCTGTCGAGTGTCGGCTCATTCTGACGGAGTTAGATTCGGCTTTTGGAAGCAAGCACGCCTTCCAGCACTCGAACAGCTTAGACGTCGCATGTCAGAAAACCGGCGTGAAAAACAACGCCAAGTTGGCCGCCAGCCTGCTTCTCTGGTGCTTGAGTCTATGCAGGGACGAAATGATGTGGGGAGACATGCCACCAGAAATCGGGCATATCGGCGTGAAGGCGGCATTCACACGCTACCTTCTCAAGAAGCGTTTGGTGGCGTACCTCGTGCGCAAGTTCACCTGGAAAAAGGTTGATGCCATCGAGGAGAAGTTGG